CTGGCCGGAGGTGGGGAGCCCTCAGCACCCCTGCTCACCTGGCTGGGGGTGGGGAGCCCTCAGCACCCCTGCTCACCTGGCTGGTGGGGGAGGGGAGCCCTTAGCACCCCTGCCACCTGGCTGGCAGGGGAGGGGAGCCCTCAGCACCCCTGCACACCTGGCTGGTGGGGGAGGGGAGCCCTCAGCACCCCTGCTCACCTGGCTGGCGGGGGAGGGGAGCCCTCAGCACCCCTGCACACCTGGCTGGTGAGGGAGGGGAGCCCTCAGCACCCCTGCTCACCTGGCTGGTGGGGGAGGAGTTCAGGCCCAGGTGTGCTCAGGGCCGGCTGACTGCAGAACAAATATAAACAGGGAAGGCTCTGACTCAGTCAGCTGCGGCTGCGTAACAAAGACCACAGGCCTGAGGCTCCAACAACACGTGTACTGTCTCCCCGTCCTGGGGGCTGGGAGCCTGAGCTCCAGGTGTGGGCGGGGCTAGTTCCTCCCGAGGCCTCCTTCCTCCCCGCGTCCTCACAGGGCCGTCCCTCTGTGTGGTGTGTCCTAAACCCCGCTTCCTGCAAGGACTCCGATCTGCTGGGATCAGGGCCCACCCTAGTCACCTCACTTTACCGTAACCCCCTCTGTAAAGACCCCATCTCCAAATACAGCCACCTTCTGGGGCCCTGCGGGCTGGGGCCCCGGCGTATGCATTTGGAGGACAGTCTGCCCAGGCCCCAGGCCCGCAGACTGTGTCCCTTCCCTTCCTAGCCCAGGGCGGTGATGGGGGCGAGGGCTCACTGGCCTGGCGAGGCCCTGATAGCGGGGGGTGACGGTGGCTGACAGGTGGGAAAGTTGTCAAGCTCGGGGATCCACAGCAACAGCTTAGATTCCACACACACGCACAGGCGTGTTGAGACACCAGAGGCAGATGCTGCCATGCTGGACATCCTGCCTGCCTGGGTCGGTCCCAGGGCTTGTCTGTCGTCCTGAGCTCCCGTGGGGCTTTGGGCCCAGGGAGCCACCTGCTGCAGACAAGTCAGACAGTTGCCCAAACTTTGGGGAACGTTTTGTCTTCCATTAGAAAGCGGTTGGTCTGCAAGCTAATAGGCAGACGTCTGAAGCACAAAGGCCCCATTCGATGGTCACCAGTCACGTCCCCCCACCGCCGTCCCGCACCTTCATCGCCCCTCGTGAGCAGGACAGCTTCCAGCGTCCCCAGTTCCAGGGGGAGGGCAGGGGGCCCGGTGGCCAGAGGTGGAGGATTCCTGTGTGCGGCCACGGCAGGGTGGCGCTCTGGAAAGTGGGTACAGGGCCCCAGGAGAACCTCATAAAGCCCTTCTAGCTCTGCAGACGGGAAATGGAGCCATGACGCCCCACATTCCTCACGAGGCCTTGCCCATTTCCCTCCCCGCTCCCTGTCTCACAGGACATGAAGGAGCTCCTGAGCAGGTACGTGGCCACCTGCGGGGGAGGCAGTGATGGGCGCAGGGAGGGCTCCGCGTGGGGCCAGAGGGGACAGTGAGACCTGTGTCCACTGGAGGAAGAACAGCCTGAGTATTCAGTACCCGGAGGCCACCCCTACTGTGCTGAGGACGGTCTGCAGGGTCCCTGGGCAGATAGAGGTGCTCAAGAGTTTTCAAGGTAAGCAGGGGCCCAGGTGCTCTCGGCTACTCCCCGCCCCGCCCCTAGTCACTCAGCGTGAGCCGCCAGTTGGGGCAACTGTTCCGTAATGGCCAGTCACGCTCTGGGCCCTGAGCTTCTGCTCCAGGGCCATGCTCTCCATTCTATTCCTATGGGGACACGCCCAAACGGCCCCCTGACCCCCATCTCCTTAGCACCACTAATATGGGCAGGTGGGGTAGGGACCCACGCAGGGACCCAGGCTCACAGCTGGACTCAGCCTTGGGGAGGCCTAGGGGATGGCCAGGGACGGCAGGGATGATCCGGCCCCTTTTCCCATGGCCCCGGGCCTGTCTGCAGAGGATGTGGTGCCCGACCCCACCACCGCATACCCCTACCTCCTCCTGTACGAGAGCCGCCTGAGGCGCTACCTGACTGCCCCACTGGAGGGCGTGCCCCACAGCAAGGACAGATTCCTGGCCTACCCCTGTGCCGTGGGCCGGGAGACCTTCTCCACGGGAAGGCACTACTGGGAGGTGGGCATGAACCTCACCGGTGACGCACTCTGGGCGCTGGGCGTGTGCAGGGACAACGTGAGCCGCAGGGACAGGGTCCCCAAGTCCCCTGAAAACGGGTTCTGGGTGGTGCAGCTGTGCAAGGGAAAGAAGTACCTGCCGGTCACATCCGCCCCGGCCCCTGTCACGCTGGCCGAGCCCCCCAGCCACGTAGGGGTCTTCCTGGACTTCGAGGCAGGGGACGTGTCCTTCTACAACCTGAAGGACGGGTCCCACCTACACACCTACACCCAGCCTGAATTCTCCGGCCCCCTGCAACCCTTCTTCTGCCTCGGGGCCCCCAAATCAGGCCAGATGGTCATCTCTACAGTGACCTTGTGGGTGAAGGGATAGGGGCAGAGGCTGGGGCAGTGCGGGCGGCCCTGGTTTCCCGGGAAGGTGAGGTGGCCCAGCTCAGCACAGGCCACCTGCCAGGCTTACCTCTGGCGGTTTCACAAAGATGAAATATCCTGATTAAAGCAGTTAAATGTTAAGAGGCTATATTCACACGTGTTTCATAAAGGAAACTCTGAAAAGCCGCTGAGTTTCCTAGTGGACCGATTCTGAGTAAGGACATCCAGTACCAGGCGCGGTGTGGCGTGCTTGCCTTTAAAAGCTGTCCCTGGGATACCCGCGCCCACCTAGGGATGGAGCCCGCGCACTGGCTCTGCTGACTTCGGGTTGTTCTACGTAGAGCCGCGGCCTCCAGGGTCCACCTGCTCTGTCTTCCATACATTCCATGTTTGCACCTTGCGCGGGGGTGTGTGTGTGTGTGTGGGGGGGGTGATGGGAAAATGAAACTTTCCACACTGATCCCTAAAAGGGGTGATGGGAAAACGAAACTTTCCACACTGATCCCTAAAAACCTCAAGGGAGGTTAAGCTGCACAAGCCGGGGCGCAATTCAGAGTAAGGGTCATGGGTGGGAGAGACTCCTCTCCACCCGCCGTTCTCTGCAGTTTCAGGCGCATTCACAACCCTGCGGCCGCCGGGCACCCCAGAATCCCACTCAGTGTATGCCTTCCCCACGCAGCCCAGAGTGCCCGCAGGCCGAGCCCCTCCCTCCACGCATCCCGATCGTGCCCGGCCCAGGGGCGCACGGGGCACGGCTTGGGGCTCGCCGCCGCAGCCTCAGGCCCCCCTCGTCCTCGCAGTCGCTGTGCTGGGCGGGGAACCCGGCGAACGTGCGGGGCGCCCCGATGGCCCGGGTCCTGCAACCGGTTGGGACGCGAGGGAGCAGTGACCCGGAGCTACGAGCGCGCGCGCAGGCAGGGGCAGCGCCGCCGCGAGGTCACCGGGTGAACAGCCTCCAACTCTGTCCCGCCCGCGGGCCGCGTGACAGGCCGCGGCCAATCCGAGGCTAAAGCGGGTTGTTCCAAAGGAGGAAAAAAAAAAAAAAAACCAGCTGCTTCCTGCTTCCGCCGCGGCTCCTCTTCCTGTCCGCGTCGGGGAGCCCTGCGCCCCGCGTCCCGGGAGCCCTGCGCCCCGCGTCCCCGGAGCCCTGAGTCCCGAGTCCCCCGGTGCCCTGAACCTCGCGACCTCAGGTGGCCTGAACCCCGCGTCCCCCGGAACCCCCGCGTGCCCGGCGCCCTGCGCCACGCGTCTCCGGAGCCCCCGCGTCCCCGCGCGCTCTCCAGAGTCCCGGCGGCGGAGGCCACCGCCCGACCCGGCGGAGAGCGCCGCCTTCCTCCGCCCCACCGGCGCCATGGCCGCCCCCGACCTGTCCACCAACCTCCAGGAGGAGGCCACCTGCGCCATCTGCCTTGACTACTTCACGGACCCGGTGATGACCGACTGCGGCCACAACTTCTGCCGCGAGTGCATCCGGCGCTGCTGGGGTCAGCCCGAGGGCCCGTACGCCTGCCCCGAGTGCCGCGAGCTGTCCCCGCAGAGGAACCTGCGGCCCAACCGCCCGCTCGCCAAGATGGCCGAGATGGCGCGGCGCCTGCACCCGCCGTCGCCCGTCCCGCAGGGCGTGTGCGCCGCGCACCGCGAGCCGCTGGCCGCCTTCTGCGGCGACGAGCTGCGCCTGCTGTGCGCGGCCTGCGAGCGCTCGGGGGAGCACTGGACGCACCGCGTGCGCCCGCTGCAGGACGCGGCCGACGACCTCAAGGTGCGGGACGGGGCCTGGCCGGAGGCCCGGGGTGGGGGGGCGTACAGAGGGTGTGCGGGCAGCCAGTCCCAAACCCGCACCCTCCTGGGACTGGGCCACCAGCCCGGAGATCGGGGAGAGGCGTGCTCTCTGGGAGGCGCAGGCCCTGCTAGGACTTCCCACGGTGGGAGTCTGGAGGGACCGGGCAGGCGTGACTGACCATTGGCGGGGATGGAGCTCAGAGCAGGAGAAAGCAGGAGCAGAACCTTAGAGGGAGCTGGTCTCGGAGGGAGGTAGACAGACAAGGCCTCAAAAAAAAAAAAAGCCCTCAGAGGGTTGTGGGCAAGGCTGGGCTGTGGGAAGTCAGCCAGGCCAGGATGGGTGGAGGACAGAGCCATTGCCCCGGGGGTCAGGTGCCAGGTTTGCTGCGGTCACCAGGCTTGGTGAGTGGGATACTTGGGGCCACTTCTGCCGTCCGACATGCCAGGGATCAGCCCCGTTTTGACTAGGCTGAGATGCCTCCATCTGTTCTGGAAAAGCATGTCTTTAAAATCCAAACCAACCCTCACCCCACTGCTGAGAGCCTCAGGGCAAACACTCCCCTGGCTGCTGTCATCTGCATTGCTCACCGGACCTCGGCACTCCTGGAACCGAGGTATGGAGTGCCTGGGTGGCACCCTTCCAGCTTTGTGAATGGGGTTTGCATTTGCTCCTGGCCAGGCGCGTGTGTGTGCTGGGTGCTCCGGGGACATGGTTTGGCAATTGAGTCAATGCTTGGCCACTCTGTCGCTGTTACAGAGCAAGCTCTGGGACACAGAACAAACTGGTACCCGATCTGCATCAATGGACTCGTTGTGACAGATCTCTAGTCTTGCTTACGACTCTAGGGCACAGCACACGTGCGGGATACCCCACCCTCTGTGTTAGCCCAGCAAGTGCGCACTCCTGTCACTGAGCGGAAGGTGATCATGAGGGCAGAGAGTGACCAGCAGCTCTCCAGAGGCACCTCCCAGCTGGCCCGATACAGACCCTTGGGACAGCACTTACCCCTTCCTGTTGTAGGGGAGACAAAACCTTTTTCTCTAACCTGTTAGGTTCGCTTCACGAGGCTTGCAAATTAACCCAACAAAGGCAGAGTAACAAGTGAAAGGACGTACATTTTATTAGTCTTTTCAATCTCATAGACTCAAGGGGCTTCACAGAGAAGAAGTGAAAGACCCAGTTAGACTGAGTTTTTGTTCCATGTTAACGTCGAATAATAAACTGGGGAGCAGGGGCTAGAGAAAGGAAAGGGGATTTGGGCTTCTAGCGCCAGGAAGACCTAAGGACTTGGGGTGGGGGGAGACTGATGGAAGATCAGGGTTATCCGAGTAAAAAAGCTGTTCAGGCAGACTCATCTGTGACAAAGAGTCATCTGTGCTGAGTGCTCTCCCCTTCCTGGTACAGACAGGGAGGCAGAAAGGAGGAGAGCAGAGGGCCCTTCCTATGACGTCCCTGTGTCCAAAGTGGCCTACTCTGGGGTGGCACATTCCGACCCCTTCACGGTGCTGATGCCTCGCTGGTCTGCGTCCTGGGGATGCCCAGCAAACTGTCTTTACCTGCCCCCTGGGCGGGCTGTGCCTGATATTCGCCTACCCTGGGGTGCTGGGTCGCGAAAGCACCACCTTCCCGACGTGGGTCCAGCTGGAAGTCGGACGGAGCCTCTAGTCAGGCAGAGCTGCGCCGGCTAGGGGCCTACAGAGAGCCCAGGGCAGGCATGGAGAAGTAAGGGGGCCGGGATTGGGGGAGGTCAGGACACGACGTTCCGGCAAGGGGCCTGGGTGTCCGGGCTGTGCCCTGGCTGGCTAACTTGAGGTTGTCGGCCGGTCATGCCCACGACTGTGGTTCCTGCCAGCCGACTTCAGGCTCTGCGGGCTTGACGTTGACGGGAGCAGGGCCCGGGCCCACACAGCAAAGGTCACTGTTGTCTCGCTTTCCCGCAGGGGAAGCTGGAGAAGTCCCTGGAGCATCTGCGGAAGCAAATGGAGGATGCACTGCT